AAGTGGTAATAGCAATATCTACAAGTTTTTTTTTCACATTTGTGACCCTGAACCACAAAACAAAATAAGGGTCAGTTTTTTTTAATTGAAATTTATACATCATCTGAAAGCTGAATAAATAAGCTTTCCATTGATGTATGGTTTGTTAGGATAGGACAATATTTGGTCGAGATACAACTATTTGAAAATCTGGAATCTGAGGGTGCAAAAAAATCTAAATATTGAGAAAATCATCTTTAAAGTTGTCCAAATGAAGTTCTTAGCAATGCATATTACTAATCAAAAATTAAATTTTGATATATTTACAGTAGGAATTTTACAAAATATCTTCATGGAACAATCTTTATTTAATATCCTAATGATTTTTGGCATAAAAGAAAAATCTATAATTTTGACCCATAAAATGTATTGTTGGCTGTTGCTACAAATATACCTGTGCTACTTATGACTGGTTTTGTGCTCCAGGGTCACATTTGATATTTCAAATGTAATAATGATTTGCATATGACAGCCGGTGCACAAGAGCGTACCGGCACTTTTTTCCACTTTAAGCATGGTCTATAATGATAAATGGATAGAAAATGGAAAGTCCTATACATATATTCTTATTTTTGGACATGTGTAAGTTGTTCTGTGGGTGAGTATGAATACGTATTTGTTTTATTTGCTATATTTATGAAAAAAATAGTTCATAAAAAATAAATAGTGCAATAAGGGGCAAAATGAGGTTTTATAGGAGATGGGTTGGTGACAGGAAGGTTGCGTAATTTCACACATTAGATTCTGATGCAATCTTTAATATTTTATGTTACAGAATACAGATTTATCAGTGTGTTCATTTATAAGTTCATTACAATTAAATAAGACATATTATAATGCATTGTGAGTTTACAAGTTTCAATTACGAGAGCATAACTCTCTCAAAATACTTAAACACAAAAGATTTGGAATGTTTCTGTTCATGTTTTGAAATGAACAGTTCATGTTAAAGTAAATTAACAATGACACTATGATAACCATCATATCCCTGTGGCCATCCGTGCAGGGTATTTTTCCTTGCTCCAGCATCCACGGGCCATTCTACAGAATTGGTTCAAAGTCAGAGTTGGAAACATCTTGTCTTTTCAAAATCGTCAAAATGTCTTTTTCCACAAATTTTGTATGTGTATAAATTGTATAATATCCAAGGTACACATTTCCAGTAATTGTGCAGTTAATTCTCATATTGTATTTTCAGAAAGTTTTGGAATATTTTTTACCTCTCCCCAAATGTGTCACTCACTACCAAAACAATCATTTATAATTTAATAAGGGCTATAGTGACCTATTAAGATTTTGTTTACATCTACCTTGTAAATATATTTTTTGCTATTTTATTAAAAGGGTTATAGAGGTAAATCAACAACAATTACAATTTTAACAATATTTTAAGTGTGATTTATGAGATTTGTTCTATTTTGAATCCAATCTTTCTTTGTAAAAGGCATAAAGCTGATCATATATTGATTTCAAAGTTAAAGATTCATTAGTTTAAATATGCACTGAACCAAACACTACCATAGCTGATAATTCAATATACTTTATTTTTGACTAGGGATGAGCGATAGGCTATCTTATCGTTTGCGATATACCGGTAAAAATTTTCCTCACGATAAGAATTAGTCTTCCAGCGATAATAACGATAAAGTCTAGCTGTTCAAATTTCTGTGTGCGACTGTGTGGAGTGATGTGAAGGAAAGCGGATGTGAAATTGAGCAGCTCCTTCTACAATCTGGAGCAGGTTTGGATAGCACTGAACAGTGCGACAAAAATCGGTCTGAGCCTTGAGTAAATAGCTAACTTAACCGAACTTGAGTAAATGTACTACAGTAGCACGTGTGCGATACAGTTTTACATGTGTATGAGTCTCTTTGCAAACCTGTTGTCCAACAAAGATATTATTGACGTGCTTTTTCTCCATATTAACTTCATAACATAGTTGAGTGTTTAAAATAACTTATTTTTGTGACCAGACGTGGTCAGAATAAGGTAGAAATCATATTATTTTATAGCATTATATACAGTGATGAAGGCTATGTCGATTAGCATTGCATTATAAATATATTTTATCCTTATAAAAATACTCAAGATTGCTTGAAGAACACAGATACCATATATTTTGTGCAATCGCATGTTTATTGTCTTCAAGTTTCCTCAGTTAAAATTTCTCTATCTGGTTTTATTCAGCTACAGCGATCACTGGATACCTTTGTCCATATTAGGGATTTCCTGGAGCGTTACTTCTGCTATGCATATGTGGAGTTTCTGAGCAAGGGCGCCCTCTGGCTTCCAGTATTAATTAAACAGTCATTACATTACGGGTGTACTGCTCACAACACCCTATTTTGGGTAAAAATAGGAAAGATAATACTTTTCTCTAAAGAAACAGGATTCCCTAAATGATCGTCATTGATAGCGTTATCGCAATAAATATTAGAAATTATTGTGATACATTTTTAAGCCCATATCGCCCATCCCTATTTTTGACAAAGCATCCCATGTTTCGGTTGTGACAGCACATTTTCAGTAGTGAGCTAGTGACAGTAATGTTTGGGTAGCGTCCACATCACATTCCCCCAAATAAAGGATTATGTGTAGTCTTTTGTCACTACCGAAACAATGATGACATGTTTTGGTTGTGACTGTTACACAATTTTATGGAATAACACCCAAAAAACATTGATGTCACTATACCGAAACTCCACCAAATGAGCCTACCTCAAAGATGCTAATCCAGCACGTTAGCTAGCACAGTTCTGAACAGTTGTACACATCTAAAAACTCAATATTATGGAATAACTCCCCCAAAAAAGTGTGCTTAATTGCAAAAAAAAAAAAAAAGGTGTTCGATAGTGACGTTCCTTAAAGTTACCCACAGATTTTTAGACTTTACCTCAAAATGATGGAACCTATCTACTCACACATTGTAGTTATGAGAAAGGGGGACACAGGAATATTTCCTGATCATAAATTTAGGGGTGTGGTTAAAATCAGTCTCAGCCAATGTACTGTTTCGGTAGTGACATGAAAATGCGGGACACATTTTTTTTTTTTTACATAAAGTTTCAGGATTTAGAAAGAAAATATTAAATATTTTTTTGAACTTCACTTTTTTTTTTAAATCTAAAAGATATTTTTAAAAACCAACAATGGAATAAAATACAAAAAAAAAATCAATATTGTTTTCAGAATTTGAAATGAAGGGGTTAGGGTTCGGGACAGCCACCTCCCAATTGAAAGTACCCAATAAATGATGATTTTATGTATATTAAGCTTACTAATATTTTAAATATTATTATGCGTTTCAATAGATAATAAAAGGATCTTAGTAAACATCAAGATTCGAACTCTTAAAAGATTTTTAAATGTGTTTTTTTTTTGTTGTTGGTTGCACCAGTTAAGCGGTTTGATGAACAGACTAACATGTGGAAGTAGTATAGGCGTGTCCCAAATTGTGTACTTATGCACTATTCTATGACGTTTTTAGTGTAAATAGTGTGAGAAGTGTGTTCACACTAAAAAATTCCAAAAACTTTAAAAACCCGGATGATGCACTTAAATAACATAAATAACGTTCGGCCCTGTCCCAAATGGCACACTTCTTGTGCACTTTCGGTCTTGTGGACTTACAATGGCTGCTGCGTGCGCGTGTACGTTAAGTCCATGAGACCGTAGGGTGTCCCATTCGTCATTTTAGCGTTCAGAAGGGTGCTGGCTATGCGCCCTCGATACGCACTTCTGCCGAGTCCGCACTGTGGCAAGCTCCGCAGCAGACTTCTACCCGACAGTCAAAGCGGCATTACGTCACGAAAGTGCGGACTCAGAGGAAGACCGCGAGGGTTTAGGGTGCGATTTGGGACAGGGCCGAAGTGTGGTATGTTGAACACTTCATGTACTCAACTGTCGCAGCTTTAATTACATCGCGAAGGGCGAGGGGCTATCAGACTCCGATTATAAATAACAAAATAACCATATAAAATTCATGCACTACATGGTTGAGTGCATAAGTACATAGGCCTAGTATATAGTGCGTCATTTGGGACGCAGTTTATGTCGTCTTCTTCGGTTTTATGGCGGGTAGCACTAGCTTTAAGGTGCATTATCGCCACCTTTGGAGTGTAGACCAAAGTTTATCCAATTCATTAAAAAAATTACATTTACAATTGCATTTTATCAGTTCTGTTCTTTTGAGATAAAGAAATAAGCTCTCTAATCCATAAGTATTTATATTTTTATGCTTTATTTCTTCCACTCCCACCTTTCTGAGTTCCTTCTTCATTATTTATCTTTCATTAAAATACTTTTGACAAACACTAATAACATGTTCCACTGACTCTTCTACTGCGCGAATGGATTTAACAGAGAAGCTGCGAAAACGCCAGTAAACCAAACGATAATCAGTTTAAGCTAAAACTTGCTGTAGCTTACAACTTATCAAGTATCCAGTGGTCCATGGATATTGATATGCAGCCAAGAATCGTGTTTCTTGACATTTATATGTGCCTGATTTCGACGCCGGGGAAATAAATAAAGCAAATTTGCCTGTGAACGCATTTTGTAAATACAAAATAGGTTGCTCTAAATCCGGGTGATCACTTATATCAATGTTATATATATCGCCATATCGTCCAGCCCAAAAACTTCTTTTTTGTCAGTGTTTATACATCCACTTATAAGATGTTAAATATTTAATTGATGAGTTCGATACGATATATTATAATAAAATATATAGGGTATGATTTTACTGCAAAATTCAGCATATTAACATAAAATGATAACTGCAAATCCGTGTTTCGTTGCCTGGAGTCCATTTGCTTCTTTGAAATGCAGCGCTTCGTTTGCTTCTCTCTTCTCTAGTTTTCGGCAGTCTGTAAAAAATATACCTCAGATTTATTTTCAGATCTATTTGTACAGTCAATCGCAAAGCTCTTTCGCAATGCTGCCGTTCACCCTGCGTCCCAATGTGCATACTATCCACCCTATCTGCCCTAAAGGAGCCCCGCAGGAGAGCAGCGGATCCGGCGGCGTCCCCCAGCGGCTCGGCCGCGTCCGAGGAGCAGACGCACCGGGTGCTGAAAAGCGAGTTCATCGAGCGCGACAACAGGAAATACTACCTGGACCTGAAGGAGAACCAGCGCGGCCGGTTCCTGCGCATCCGGCAGACCGTCAACCGCGGACACGGGGGCATGGGGTACTACGGGCAGGGCATCGAGCAGACCATCGTGCTGCCGGCGCAGGGCCTGATCGAGTTCAGAGACGCGCTGTCGCAGTTAATCGACGAATACGGCGACGACGAGCCCTGCGCGCGGAACCACGACGCGTCGGCCGAGCTGCCCGAGGCGGCGTCGTTCCGCGTCGACAACAAGCGCTTTTACTTCGACGTGGGCTCGAACCGCTTCGGCGTCTTCCTGAAGATCAGCGAGGTCCGGCAGCCCTACCGGAACACGATCACCGTCCCGCTGAAAGCCTGGGCCCGCTTCGGCGAGAACTTCATGCGGTACGAGGAGGAGATGCGGCACATCTTCACCTGCCATAAAGAGAAGCGGACAGACGCGGAGGAGCCGGAGGATTGACGCACGCTGCTGCTGCTTCTGATGATGCTTCTGGTGTTAGTTGTACCTCTAGCCTCCTGCTGTACTCACCGTACACTTTACCGTGCGGCCCGTCCCGTTCATGCCCATTACTGTCCATTTCAATCTAGGCAGAATCCAAGCAGCTCTGCTGGGGTTGCAGTGTGTGTGTGTGTCTGAGAGAGAGCGTGCATTAGGATTTGGTGTTATTGCATCCAATACTTCTTCCCAGGCTTAACGTGTATAGGGCTGCTGTGCAATTTCTCAAAGCTGGGAATTAAATAATCAAGGTCTTATCAAGCACTTAGGTAACACTTTATTTTGATAGCCCACTTTAGACATTCTACTAAGGCTGATAATACATGGAGCAACTTTTTGAGCGATATTGCTGGGTTAATCAATGGGCAACCAGGTGAGACACAGGGCCTATTATTGATTTAAAGTATCCAGATAGAAATGTGTTACCAATTCTCAATGGGAAAGTGCCCAAGCAACATTGCTCTAAAAAGATTCCCCGTTTATCATCAGCCTAAAAGTAAGTATCTTTGCAACTAAATGCCAACTAGTAGTCATTAGAGTATTAGTAGACTGTCTGCTTAATATCTTCTAAGGCTGATGATACACTGGGCAACTTTTTTTGGGCAACGTTGCTTGGGCACTTTCCCATTGGGAATGGGTAACCAATTTCTATCTGGATATTTTAGATCAATTGTGGGCTCTGTGTCTCACCTGGTTGCTGGCAACATTGCTCAAAAAGTTGCCCAGTGTATCATCAGCCTAACACTTTATTTTGATGGGTCTACAACATACTGAACTTTGCAAGTATATGTCAAATTATGTCAAAAACCTAACCTAACAGTCCACTCTGAGAGTTAGTAGACATGTAGTTGCAAAGTTACTTATAGTTAGTAGAATGTCTAAAGTGGACTATCAAAATAAAGTGTAACCAGCACTTATATCAGAGATGCACTGCACACGAGTGCGGAGTATTTTGATGGTCCAAAGTGAAGTTTTCCTTTTTTTTTTAGTCTCAATGATCAAGAGTACTGCAACATTTTTGCCATTGCACAAATACTGTGTTCCCCGTTTGAAATTAGAAACCAAAAAGTGCATTAATATTTACATTATTTCGATTAATTATTTACATACGAAAAATACTTAACCTGATGAGGCTGCTTGAACTATAAGGCTGATGATACACGGGGCAAATTTTTGAGCAATTTTGCCAGGCAACTTTTATTTTTAGCAATGTTGCTTGGACACTTTCCCATTGAGAATGGGTAATACATTTATATTTGGATATTTTAGATTGGTTAGACCTGGTTGCCCGTTGATGCCAACATTATCCAAAGTTGCCCGGCAACATTGCTCAAAAAGTTGCCCAGTGTATCATCAGCCTAAAGCATCAAATATATGACATTGTGTGGCCATGCTTTAGCATAAATGAATGGACACACTAAGATTTGCTTTTTTAAAAGTTTTAAAAGTGACTTTAAATAAAGGTTTTAGTGAAATCAATCTCCCTGACGAGACAAATGCCAAATCACTCTTGATAGGTGTGCAATATTTTATTTTTCCCTGTCAGTGGGTTTAAACGAGAACTGTGCTAAAGCAAACAAATAGGCTCGTTTTAAAATAACAGAATTTAGTTTAGCTTGGTTTGCAGGGTTATGTGGTCTTGCGTGAAATGTTGAAAGGATTGTGACACTGGATTTACACAGACCTAAAATGTTGAAATGCATTTGACATGATGTCATTCCTATCAAAACAATAGCTGTTTAAAACTACATATTATCATACACACATTCTACTGCATTACTAAGACGTAATAATTCGTTTTTTAAAAATAGTGTATGAGAAAATGTGAGAAAAGTAACTAGCAATTTGCGGCATCCCCAGATGTCCTTCACACCCAATTCATTGGATTGCGGGAAATTGTTTTTTGGCATACAGTTTTAAAATCTACACTGAAATTGGGCGTACTATGCACAGTACGCATTTTGCATACTGAATTTCATTCAAATAAAATATAAGCAGTAGTGTACTACTATGAAAACACAGCATGTGTTAACTAGTTGCCTTTATTAAAACTTTTTTCCTGGGGTTGTAGCATTTAGAGGCATGGACATACATGCATCTAGGCAGTTGTTTTCTCGTTAAAGCACAACTAATGAGTATTTTCGTTGGTTTTAGGTCTGGCTCGAGTTGGCTTCTGTTTATTTGTACTAGGGCTGCACGATTATGACAAAAATCATAATTGTCGATTATTCCCTTGAAATTGCGATTATTAATTACGATTATCACAATTTACATTGAATGATGTTTATACCATTGTTTGATGCAACTGCATGCCGTGTTTTTATATGAAAATAAACAAGCTGAAAACACTAACTGAAAAACCTTTAGTGCTTTTCTATAGTATTAAGCCTCAAATGTCAACTATACATCGGATTGGTTTCTTCTTTAAATTATAAAAATATGAATGGTATTATAATGTTATACTAAAACTAAAATTTAAATAATGGGAAAAACCCTTGAGATAACATGTAGAAAGAAAAAAACACATCTTAAGCACGCAGAATAACATAAGTGGACTTTGAACGATTAATTGCCGCTTTGAACGATTACGTAATTGTGGCATCCGTAATTGTAATCGCGATTAGAAATTCGATTAATTGTGCAGCCCTAATTTGTACTGTAATTATTGTCCAGTTGACGGGAAAAGCAATTCGTTTCGGCACTCTTTTTTTCTCTGTGTGTGAGAGAGTATTTATGTTTTAGAAGAATATAACTGAATTATGGGTACATTCTGTGGGTTAGTGTTAAGATGCTGATCTATAACAGACACCTCCTACAGGAAGCACTTTATTCAAACAGCACTTTGAGCTGCTTCGTCTGCTTTACCACTGCAAAGAGAACCCCATATCGTGCTCCCAAACGAACACCTCAGCCTTTCAGAAGTGCATTCATCTGTTTGCTCTGTGCGCTTCTTGGTTCTTTTCGATCAGATTTGGTTGCAATGTGTCATTTCAAGGGTCTGGTTAGCATATCACTGACACCGAGTATTCAGTCTGTGATTGTATTGTATTGTATTGTCTGCACACGGATTTCTTGCAATAAGGGCTGCTAGAGGAGGCAGTATGTACTAATGTTGGGTCATAATGCCTAGTACAGGGGTTTTCAACCTGTGGGGCGCGCCCCCACAGGGGGGCGCCAGCACCTGTCAAGGGGGCCGCGAGCATCAGTTAATTCAGAGACGTTCCCGTGAGAATTTATGAATCTAGTATGCAGATTTACATATTTAGAAGGTAGGAAGTTTGAAAAAGGTAAGATCCTTTTTTTCTACCAAGAGCATCAGAATATTTAGAAAGTTACCTTTGAATGGCAGCATCTGGTTGTCCTCTTTTACCTATAAAGCAGTAAGCGTGTAAAGCTGGTGCAAAATTAATGAACCGTGTGCACTTTAAAAATCTGAGTACAGGTTTGTTCCCACCAAAGAAATGAGTAGAGGTATGCTTGTTGTATGTGTATGTGCAATGCATGACCAGAAGAGAGCAGTGTTCGTATGTTTTTCTCGCTTTATGTATAGGAGGTATACAAATATTGCTAGTGTACACAATTTATCGCCCTGATGAAACAGCGTATTTGATTTTAAAGGAATTATTTGGGAAAATTGATGTCTATTTTCCTGTAGTGTTAGAGGAAACAGCTATGTCAATTCATAAGGCCATCTCAAAATGCGATTACTATATTGCAGCTATATCTGAGTTACTCTAAACACTTGAATTCATGAAATTGGACTGTTATGCATAACATGTACTGAAGTCACAGTTTTCAACCCATAGGCCTTAAAATCATTACACTGTGGTTGTAATGATTGACTTTAGGGTTAAGAATTATCGTTCCAACGTAGTTTGCCTTCATCTCTAAAATGTAACATTTTGTACGCATGGTGTTAGAAAACAAAAGAACCGGGGAAAAGGTGTTTGTCGAATGCGGCAAAGAGACCTCGCGAATAAAACGAAAAAAAAACACAAAGCAAAATAGAAAAATATTTCAGTTCGGGGAATATTAAAATATAACAGCAGAGATGCATACACTTCTGTATATGTTCTTGATAGTGGTGTGGGTGATGTGACGTTCTAAAAAAGAAAAAACTAAGGTTGTTCACAAACGTTCTTGAGTTGTTCCTTTTTATCTTTGTGTTGACCATCTGCAGTTGGAATTATGACGTGTCAGTGTTTGTTAAATGATTTTAAAAGATGACAAAATTTAAAAAAAAAAATGTTTTGGTGTATTTTTAGATCATGTAATGTAGCGTGTCCTCCTGTAGAGCCTTCGAATATTATACGACTCAAAAACAAGAAAAATGGTTCTGTCTAGTAGCACTTTCTTTTCACGTGAGTACTGTATTAGTTTCTGTTTAAAATGTATGGTAAAGTATGAATATTCCTGATTTGCCTTGTAATGTTTTTAAAAGGTTGAAATATGTAGGATACATATCTGATGAAATATGAAGTTTTAATTTTGACGTTCGTGCATGCCAACAGTAGGGTCCTGACAAACTTCAAATATATATGAAAAATGGTGCTATATGAGAACATATAAAGGTGCTAAACTGGACCCTAGCTGCATGCATGATGAATGACAATGGAAACAGTAGAGCAAACCCGAGGCTTTTCAGTCTCGAGATTGACGACAAGATGCCCTTTCTCAACGCGAGCAGTTTTGCGTAACTGTAAATCATGCACACTTGTGTCTGTGCAGTCGCGTGTGGAGGCTCCCTGCTCACAAGTCTGGCCTAATTCTCCAGTTAAGGTTGCTTTGAGTAGGATGACATAAGAAAGGTGCGTTTGCTCATGTTGAAGCTGCAAACATATGTCAGACATGCAACCAGTGAGCAGCCCATCCGCCATGGCTAATACTCAGTCTTTGCAGTGAATAACAGCACATTATAAAACTGGTGGGTGAGAACTTGAACCGGTAGACGTCTCGTGGTGGAAATCCTCACCAAAGTACATGCTGAAATGTGTGATGCTTATTTACAGTTACCCAATATTTGTGTGTAAACGTTCCATAGACAATCTAATAAAGTACAACTTTTTTTATGTTTAGAATGTGTCTTTTGATCAACTCGTCAGATATCTATATTATTGGCTGTTTTTATCTTTTCCCACATTAAAGTGAGTTCATAACTTATTTTTGGTAGTCATTTGTACAGTATTTTGGTATGATGTACTTTTGGCATAGAAAATGTGAATGTTTTTAAATGAGTGCTTCAATAACTGCGCTACCCCAGCTGATTTAGGCTTCAAGAGCTAAGCATCTATTACTTTTTGAGACGTTATGTGCTTTTGTTTGGCTAGATATGTGCATACTGAATCTCCACTTGTGTCAGGAAGAAATATCCCTCTGACT